ACATAACTGAAATCAGTCGCTTCCTATAACCATCAATAAGCTTCTGACACCTCTCACCCGGAATTTTGGACCACTCTTCCTTTGCAAACAGCTCCAGGTCTCTCTTATTGGAAGGACACCTTTTCCCAACAGCAATTTTAAGATCTCTCCACAGGTGTTCAATGGGATTTAGATCTGGGCTCATTGCTGGCCACTTCAGAACTCTCCAGCGCTTCTTTGCCATCCATTTCTGAGTGCTTTTTGACGTATGTTTGGGGTCATTGTCCTGCTGGAAGACCCAGGATCTTGGACGCAAACCCAGCTTTCTGACACTGGGCCCTACAGTGCGACCCAAAATCCTTTGGTAATCCTCAGATTTCATGATGCCTTGCACACAGTCAAGGCACCCAGTGCCAGAGGCAGCAAAACAACCCCAAAATATCATTGAACCTCCACCATATTTTACCGTAGGTACTGTGTTTTGTTCTTTGTAGGCCTCATTCCGTTTTCGGTAAACAGTAGAATGATGTGCTTTACCGAAAAGCTCTATCTTGGTCTCATCTGTCCACAAGACGTTTTCCCAGAAGGCTTTTGGCTTACTCAAGTACATTTTTGCAAACTGTAGTCTTGCTTTTTTATGTCTCTGTGTCAGCAGTGGGGTCCTCCTGGGTCTCCTGCCATAGCGTTTCATTTCATTTAAATGTCGACGGATAGTTCGCGCTGACACTGATGCTCCCTGAGCCTGCAGGACAGCTTGAATGTCTTTGGAACATGTTTGGGGCTGCTTATCCACCATCCGGACTATTCTGCGTTGCAATCTTTCATCAATTTTCCTCATCCGTCCACGACCAGGGAGATTAGCTACAGTGCCATGGGTTGCAAACTTCTTGATAATGTTGCGCACTGTGGACAAAGGCAAATCTAGTTCTCTGGAGATGGACTTGTAACCTTGAGATTGTTGATATTTTGCCACAATTTTGGTTCTCAGGTCCTCAGACAGTTCTCGTCTCCTCTTTCTGTTGTCCATGCTTAGTGTGGCACAGACAGACACACAATGCAAAGGTTAAGTGAACGTCTCTCCTTTTTATCTGCTTTCAGGTGTGATTTCTATATTGCCCACACCTGTTACTTGCCCCAGGTGAGTTTACAGGAGCATCACATGCTTGTAACATTCTTATTTATCCGCAGTTGTGAAAGGGTGCCAATACTTTTGTCCAGCCCATTTTGGAGGTTTGTGTGACATTATGTCGAATTTGCTTTCTTTCCTCCCTTTTTTTGTTTTGTCCCAATACACACAAAGGGAATAAACATGTGTATAGCAAAACATGTGTTAATGCAATACGTTTCGTGAGAAATACATGATTTTCAGGAAAAATATCAAGGGTGCCAACAATTTCGGCCATGACTGTATATAGTTGCAAGAAAAAGTATGTGAACCCCTTGGGATTACGTGGAGTTTTGCATGAATTGGGCATAAAATGTGCTCTGAACGTCATCTAAGTCACAACAATAGAAGAACACAGTCTGCTGAACATAATACTACACAAACATTAGATGTTGCCATGGTTTAATTGCACATAACATGTAAACATTCACAGTGCAGGGAGGAAAAAGTATGTGAGGCCCTAGCTTAATGACTTCTCCCAGAGCTAATTGGAGCCAGGAGTGAGCCAACCTTGACTCCAATCAGTGTGATGATATTGGATGTGTTGCCGACAGCTGTCCTGCCCTTAAAAAAACACACACATGTTTTGGGTTTACTGGTTTCAAGAAGCACTGTCTGATGTGAACCATGCCTTGCAGAAAAGAGCTCTCACAAGTCCTACGATCAAGAATTGTTGACTCGCATGAAGCTGGAAAGGGTTACAAAAGTATCTTCAAAAGCCTTGATGTTCATGTGTCCACGGTAAGACAGACTGTCTACAAATAGAGAAAGTTTAGCACTGTTGCTACTCTCCCTAGGCGTGGTCATCCTGTAAAAATGACTGCAAGAGCACAGCGCAGAATGCTGCATGAGGTAAAGAAGAGAAGAATCCCAGAGTGTCAGCTAAAGACCTACAGAAATCTCTGGCACATGCTAACATTTTTGTTGACACATCTACAATAAGGAAAACATTAAACAAGAATGGAGTACATGGGAGGACACCACGGAGGAAGCCATTGCTGCCCAAAAAGAATATTGCAGCACGTTTGAAGTTTGCAAAAGAGAACCTGGATGTTCCACAGCACTACTGGCAAAATATACTGTGGACAGATGAAACCAAGATTGAGTTGTTTGAGAAGAACACACAACACTATGTGTGGAGAAAAAAAGGCACAGCACACCAACATCAAAACCTCATCCCCACTGTAAAACATGGTGGAGGGAGCATCATGGTTTGGGGCTGCTTTGCTGCCTCAGGGCCTGGACGGATTGTTGTCATTGATGGGAAAATGAATTCCAGACATCAAGACATTTTGCAGGAAAACGTACGACCATCTGTCCGCCAACTGAAGCTCCGCAGAGGATGGGTGATGCAACAGGACAATGACCCAAAGCATACAAGTAATTCAACAAAACAATGGCTGCAACAGCACAGAATACGCCTTCTGGAGTGGCCCAGTCAGAGTCCTGACCTCAACCCGATTGAAATGCTGTGGCATGACCTTAAGAGAGCGATTCACACCAGACATCCCAAGAATATTGCTACACTGAAACAGTTTTGTGAAGAGGAGTGGTTCAAAATTACTCCAGATCGTTGTGCAGGTCTGATCTGCAACTACAGGAAACGTTTGGTTGAGGTTATTGCTGCCAAAGGAGGGTCAACCAGTTATTAAGTCCAAAGGTTCACATACTTTTTCCTCCCTGCACTGTGAATGTTTACATGTTATGTGCAATTAAACCATGGCAACATCTAATGTTTGTGTAGTATTATGTTCAGCAGACTGTGTTCTTCTATTGTTGTGACGTAGATGACGTTCAGAGCACATTTTATGCTCAATTCATGTAAAACTCCACATAATCCCAAGGGGTTCACATACTTTTTCTTGCAACTGTATATATATATATATATATATATATATATATATATATATATATATATATATATATATATATATATATAAAGACATAAAATTGTGAGAAAAACAGTATTTTTTACTTTCTGTTACAAAATATATCCAATTAAAAGAAAAACAACAAAAAACAAATTTCTTCATATATTTAAGCCAAAATGTATTCTGTTTTTGTAAAAATAAAATCCCAGTAAGTGAATACTGATACTTTTTGTTGTTTAGCACTGCGCTACTTTAACTGGTAATTGAGTAGTCATGCAACGCTGTACCCAAAAGAAATTTATATCATTTTTTTCCCCCTCAAACAGAGCTTTTTGATCACTACTGGGATTTTAATTTCTAATAAAAAAAAAATGTTTTTTTTAATTAGAAATATATATATATGCATATATATAATATTTTTTACTTTCTGTTACAAAACATATCCAATTAAAAAAAAAAACAAAAAACAAATTTCTTTATATATTTAGGCCAAAATGTATACTGTCTTTGGTAAAAAATTAAATCCCAGTAAGTGAATACTGATACTTTTTGTTATTTGGCACTGCGCTACTTTAACTGGTAATTGCGCAGTCATGCAACGCTGTACTTTTTTTGTTTTTTTCCCTCTCAAACAGAGCTTTTTGTTTGGTGGTATTTGATCACTACTGGGATTTTAATTTTCAATTAAAAAAATAAAATAAAATATATATATATATATATATATATATAAAAGACATAAAATTGTGAGAGAAACAATATTTTTTACTTTTTGTTACAAAATATATCCAATTAAAAAAAAAACTCCAAAAAAAACCAAAACACATTTCTTTATATATTTAGGCCAAAATATATACGGTCTTTGGTAAAAAATTAAATCCCAGTAAGTGAATACTGATACTTTTTGTTATTTGACACTGCGCTACTTTAACTGGTAGTTGCGCAGTCATGCAACGCTGTACCCAAAAAATAAATTTATATCTTTTTTTTTCCCCTCAAACAGAGCTTTTTGTTTGGTGGTATTTGATCACTACTGGGATCTTCATTTTTAATTAAAAAAAAAGGAGTATTGAAGGAAATATCATTCCTCCTATGTGCAGTTTGCTCCTCCTTCCTATGTGCAGTTTGCTCCTCCCTCCTATGTGCAGTTTGCTCCTCCCTTCTATGTGCAGTTTGCTCCTCCCTCCTATGTGCAGTTTGCTCCTCCCTCCTATATGCAGTTTGCTCCTCCCTCCTATGTGTAGTTTGCTCCTCCCTCCTATGTGTAGTTTGCTCCTTCCTCCTATGTGCAGTTTGCTCTTTCCTCCTATGTGCAGTTTGATCCTCCCTCATATGTGCAGCTTGCTCCTCCTTCCTATGTGCAGCTTGCTCCTACCTCCTATGTGCAGTTTTCTCCTTCCTCCTATGTGCAGTTTTCTCCTCCCCCCGTGTGTAGTTTGCTCCTCCCTCCTATGTGCAGTTTGCTCCTCCCTATGTGCAGTTTGTTCCTCCCTCCTATGTGCAGTTTGCTCCTCCCTCCTATGTGCAGTTTGCTCCCTCCTATGTGCAGTTTGCTCCTTCCTCCTATGTGCAGTTTGCTCCTCCCTCCTATGTGTAGTTTGCTCCTCCCTCCTATGTGTAGTTTGCTCCTCCCTCCTATGTGTAGTTTGCTCCTCCCTCCTATGTGTAGTTTGCTCCTCCCTCCTATGTGTAGTTTGCTCCTCCCTCCTATGTGTAGTTTGCTCCTCCCTCCTATGTGTAGTTTTCTCCTTCCTCCTATGTGCAGTTTGCTCCTCCCTCCTACATGTAGTTTGCTCCTCCCTCCTATGTGCAGTTTGCTCCTCCCTCCTATGTGCAGTTTGCTCCTCCCTCCTATGTGTAGTTGCTCCTCTAAGACTGAATCAGAAATGTTGTACTGGTGGTCCTCACAGGTGGGTCCTCGCACATTATTATTATCCATCTGACCAATCAGAACATGATTGTGTATGCCCAGCTCCACCCTCGTTCACCTGGGACAATGTCCGTAGCTTCCTCTTCGTCTTTGATCACCACCTCTTCCTCCTCCTCTGATTTGATGATGACATTAAGACCCCCGAGGATGCCACCCTAGACAACAGAAACCGGTCAGTATTTCCAGGGATGGATCAACCAAAAAACAAACCCACCGTTGGCTTACCAGACACAACATCTGGAAGATGAAATGAGCCTCGCAGTGGGAGGGGTTTCTCCATAAAGGGATGAGCGGAAGGAATAACAGGATTGGCATCACCAGCTCTGTGACCTTCCTCCTCCTCCCAGAGCAGGCAGGAGGCCGGGCAGTGCCAGGGAATCTGAAGGACTACTAGGGCCACCCTGCTCATACTATGCAGTCATATAGAACAACAGGGGTGGAGTACAGAGCAGAGTAGGACATGACTGACAGCTCCTCTGATATCTACCTCATCATCCTCCGTTCCTGTCCCCTCCTCCTCCGTACAGACCTCCATGGAGTGCCAAGGTTTGGGATATTTCCGCAAAGCATTTCCATCAAGTTCATCTAAAAAAAAAAAAAAAAAAAAAAAAAAAAATGGAGAGTTGGATATAGACAGATCGATCGATCAATAGATAGATATAGATAGTTATAGTGGGAAGATATGATAGATATGAGATAGATAGATAATGAACAGATGGATAGATAGATAGATAGATAGATAGATAGATAGATAGATAGATAGATAGATAGATAGATAGATAGAGTGCCTTGAAAAAGTATTCATATCCTTTAACATGTTCCCCGTGTTGTCATGTGACGTCAATGTATTTATTGGGATTGGATGTGATGGACCGACATAAAGTGACCCATAATTGTGAAGTGGAAGGAAAATGAGAAATGGTTTTCAACATTTTTGACAAGTAAATATCTGAAAAGTGTGGCGGCATTTGTATTCAGCCGCCTTTACTCATTCTCCTAACTAAAATCTAGTGGAACCAATTGCCTTCAGAAGTCACTTGATTAGTAGATAGAGTCCCCCTGTGTGTCATGTGATCTCAGTATAAATCCAGCTTTTCTGTGAAGCCCTCAGAGGTTTGTTAGAGAACATTAGTGAACAAACAGCATCATGAAGGCCAAGGAACACACCAGACAGATCAGTGATAAAGTTGTGGAGAAGTATAAAGCGGGGTTAGGGTATAAAAGAATATCCCAAGCTTTGACCATCTCACGGAGCACTGCTCAATCCATTATCCAGAAATGGAAGGAGTACGGCACAACTGCCAACCTACCGAGACATTGCCGTCCACCTAAACTGACAGGCCGGGCAAGGAGAGCATTCATCAGAGAAGCAGCCAAGAGGCCCATGGGAACTCTGGAGGAGCTGCAGAGATCCACAGCTCAGGGGGGGGAGAATCTGTCCACAGGACAACTATTAGTCGTGCACTCCACAAATCTGGCCTTTATGGAGGAGTGACAAGAAGAAAGCCATTGTTGGAGGAAAGCCATAAGAAGTCCTGTGTGCAGTTTTGGGAAGCCATGTGGGGGACACAGCAAATATCTGGAAGAAGGGGCTCTGGTCAGATGAGACCAAAATTGAACTTTTTGGCCTAAAAGCAAAGCGCTATGTGTGGGGGAAAACTAACACTGCCTATCACCCTGAACACACCAACCGTGAAACATGGTGTTGGCAGCATCATGTGGTGGGGATGCTTTTCTTTAGCAGGGATAGGGAAGCTGGTCAGAGTTGATGTGAAAGATGGATGGATCCAAATACAGTGCAATCTTAGAAGAAAACCTGTTAGAGTCTGCAAAAGACTTGAGACACCGGGGTGGAGGTTCCCTTTCCAGCAGGACAACGACCCGAAAAATCCAGCCAGAGCTACAATGGAATGGTTCCGATCAAAGCATCTTTGTGTGTTAGAATGGCCCAGTCACAGTCCAGACCAAAACCCAATGGAGAATCTGTGGCCAGACAGAAACCCAATGGAGAATCTGTGGTCAGACCAAAACCCAATGGAGAATCTGTGGCCAGACCCAAACCCAATGGAGAATCTGTGGCCAGACCCAAACCCAATGGAGAATCTGTGGCCAGACCCAAACCCAATGGAGAATCTGTGGCCAGACCCAAACCCAATGGAGAATCTGTGGCCAGACCCAAACCCAATGGAGAATCTGTGGCCAGACCCAAACCCAATGGAGAATCTGTGGCCAGACCCAAACCCAATGGAGAATCTGTGGCCAGACCCAAACCCAATGGAGAATCTGTGGCCAGACCCAAACCCAATGGAGAATCTGTGGCCAGACCCAAACCCAATGGAGAATCTGTGGCCAGACCCAAACCCAATGGAGAATCTGTGGCCATACAGAAACCCAATGGAGAATCTGTGCCAGACCGAAACCCAATGGAGAATCTGTGGCCATACAGAAACCCAATGGAGAATCTGTGCCAGACCGAAACCCAATGGAGAATCTGTGGCCAGACCGAAACCCAATGGAGAATCTGTGGCCAGACAGAAACCCAATGGAGAATCTGTGGCCAGACCGAAACCCAATGGAGAATCTGTGGCCAGACCGAAACCCAATGGAGAATCTGTGGCCAGACCCCAAACCCAATGGAGAATCTGTGGCCAGACCCAAACCCAATGGAGAATCTGTGGCCAGACCCAAACCCAATGGAGAATCTGTGGCCAGACCCAAACCCAATGGAGAATCTGTGGCCAGACCCAAACCCAATGGAGAATCTGTGGCCAGACCCAAACCCAATGGAGAATCTGTGGCCAGACCCAAACCCAATGGAGAATCTGTGGCCAGACCCAAACCCAATGGAGAATCTGTGGCCAGACCCAAACCCAATGAAGAATCTGTGGCCAGACCCAAACCCAATGGAGAATCTGTGGCCAGACCCAAACCCAATAGAGAACCTGTGGCCAGACCCAAACCCAATGGAGAATCTGTGGCCAGACCCAAACCCAATGGAGAATCTGTGGCCAGACCCAAACCCAATGGAGAATCTGTGGCCAGACCCAAACCCAATGGAGAATCTGTGGCCAGACCCAAACCCAATGGAGAATCTGTGGCCAGACCCAAACCCAATGGAGAATCTGTGGCCAGACCCAAACCCAATGGAGAATCTGTGGCCAGACCCAAACCCAATAGAGAATCTGTGGCCAGGCCAAACCCAATGGAGAATCTGTGGCCATACCCAGAAACCCAATGGAGAATCTGTGGCCAGACCGAAACCCAATGGAGAATCTGTGGCCAGACGAAACCCAATGGAGAATCTGTGGCCAGGCCAGAAACCCAATGGAGAATCTGTGGCCAGACCCAGAAACCCAATGGAGAATCTGTGCCAGACCCAAACCCAATGGAGAATCTGTGGCCAGACCAGAAAACCCAATGGAGAATCTGTGGCCAGACCCAAACCCAATGGAGAATCTGTGGCCAGACCCAAACCCAATGGAGAATCTGTGGCCAGACCCAAACCCAATGGAGAATCTGTGGCCAGACCCAAACCCAATGGAGAATCTGTGGCCAGACCCAAACCCAATGGAGAATCTGTGGCCAGACCCAAACCCAATGGAGAATCTGTGGCCAGACCCAAACCCAATGGAGAGAATCTGTGGCCAGACCCAAACCCAATGGAGAATCTGTGGCCAGACCCAAACCCAATGAGAATCTGTGGCCAGACCCAAACCCAATGGAGAATCTGTGGCCAGACCCAAACCCAATGGAGAATCTGTGGCCAGACCCAAACCCAATGGAGAATCTGTGGCCAGACCCAAACCCAATGGAGAATCTGTGGCCAGACCCGAAACCCAATGGAGAATCTGTGGCCAGGCCGAAACCCAATGGAGAATCTGTGGCCAAACCCAAACCCAATGGAGAATCTGTGGCCATACAGACCCAAACCCAATGGAGAATCTGTGGCCAGACCGAAACCCAATGGAGAATCTGTGGCCAGACAGAAACCCAATGGAGAATCTGTGGCCAGACAGAAACCCAATGGAGAATCTGTGGCCAGACAGAAACCCAATGGAGAATCTGTGGCCAGACAGAAACCCAATGGAGAATCTGTGGCCAGACCAAACCCAATGGAGAATCTGTGGCCAGACCAAACCCAATGGAGAATCTGTGGCCAGACAGAAACCCAATGGAGAATCTGTGGCCAGACAGAAACCCAATGGAGAATCTGTGGCCAGACCCGAAACCCAATGGAGAATCTGTGGCCAGACCAAACCCAATGGAGAATCTGTGGCCAGACCGAAACCCAATGGAGAATCTGTGGCCAGACCGAAACCCAATGGAGAATCTGTGGCCAGACCGAAACCCAATGGAGAATCTGTGGCCAGACAGAAACCCAATGGAGAATCTGTGGCCAGACAGAAACCCAATGGAGAATCTGTGGCCAGACAGAAACCCAATGGAGAATCTGTGGCCAGACCAGAAACCCAATGGAGAATCTGTGGCCAGACCCAAACCCAATGGAGAATCTGTGGCCAGACAGAAACCCAATGGAGAATCTGTGGCCAGACCCAAACCCAATGGAGAATCTGTGGCCAGACCCAAACCCAATGGAGAATCTGTGGCCAGACCAAAACCCAATGGAGAATCTGTGGCCAGACCCAAACCCAATGGAGAATCTGTGGCCAGACCCAAACCCAATGGAGAATCTGTGGCCAGACCCAAACCCAATGGAGAATCTGTGGCCAGACCCAAACCCAATGGAGAATCTGTGGCCAGACCCAAACCCAATGGAGAATCTGTGGCCAGACCCAAACCCAATGGAGAATCTGTGGCCAGACCCAAACCCAATGGAGAATCTGTGGCCAGACCCAAACCCAATGGAGAATCTGTGGCCAGACCGAAACCCAATGGAGAATCTGTGGCCAGACCGAAACCCAATGGAGAATCTGTGGCCAGACCGAAACCCAATGGAGAATCTGTGGCCAGACCGAAACCCAATGGAGAATCTGTGGCCAGACCGAAACCCAATGGAGAATCTGTGGCCAGACCGAAACCCAATGGAGAATCTGTGGCCAGACCGAAACCCAATGGAGAATCTGTGGCCAGACCGAAACCCAATGGAGAATCTGTGGCCAGACCGAAACCCAATGGAGAATCTGTGGCCAGACCCAAACCCAATGGAGAATCTGTGGCCAGACCCAAACCCAATGGAGAATCTGTGGCCAGACCCAAACCCAATGGAGAATCTGTGGCCAGACCCAAACCCAATGGAGAATCTGTGGCCAGACCCAAACCCAATGGAGAATCTGTGGCCAGACCCAAACCCAATGGAGAATCTGTGGCCAGACCCAAACCCAATGGAGAATCTGTGGCCAGACCCAAACCCAATGGAGAATCTGTGGCCAGACCCAAACCCAATGGAGAATCTGTGGCCAGACCCAAACCCAATGGAGAATCTGTGGCCAGACCCAAACCCAATGGAGAATCTGTGGCCAGACCCAAACCCAATGGAGAATCTGTGGCCAGACCCAAACCCAATGGAGAATCTGTGGCCAGACCCAAACCCAATGGAGAATCTGTGGCCAGACCCAAACCCAATGGAGAATCTGTGGCCAGACCCAAACCCAATGGAGAATCTGTGGCCAGACCCGAAACCCAATGGAGAATCTGTGGCCATACGAAACCCAATGGAGAATCTGTGGCCAGACCGAAACCCAATGGAGAATCTGTGGCCAGACCGAAACCCAATGGAGAATCTGTGGCCAGACAGAAACCCAATGGAGAATCTGTGGCCAGACAGAAACCCAATGGAGAATCTGTGGCCAGACAGAAACCCAATGGAGAATCTGTGGCCAGACAGAAACCCAATGGAGAATCTGTGGCCAGACAGAAACCCAATGGAGAATCTGTGGCCAGACAGAAACCCAATGGAGAATCTGTGGCCAGACAGAAACCCAATGGAGAATCTGTGGCCAGACAGAAAACCCAATGGAGAATCTGTGGCCAGACAGAAACCCAATGGAGAATCTGTGGCCAGACAGAAACCCAATGGAGAATCTGTGGCCAGACAGAAACCCAATGGAGAATCTGTGGCCAGACAGAAACCCAATGGAGAATCTGTGGCCAGACAGAAACCCAATGGAGAATCTGTGGCCAGACAGAAACCCAATGGAGAATCTGTGGCCAGACAGAAACCCAATGGAGAATCTGTGGCCAGACAGAAACCCAATGGAGAATCTGTGCCAGACCGAAACCCAATGGAGAATCTGTGGCCAGACAGAAACCCAATGGAGAATCTGTGGCCAGACAGAAACCCAATGGAGAATCTGTGGCCAGACAGAAACCCAATGGAGAATCTGTGGCCAGACAGAAACCCAATGGAGAATCTGTGGCCAGACAGAAACCCAATGGAGAATCTGTGGCCAGACAGAAACCCAATGGAGAATCTGTGGCCAGACCGAAACCCAATGGAGAATCTGTGGCCAGACAGAAACCCAATGGAAAATCTGTGGCCAGACAGAAACCCAATGGAGAATCTGTGGCCAGACCCAAAGCCAATGGAGAATCTGTGGCCCGACCGAAACCCAATGGAGAATCTGTGGCCAGACCCAAACCCAATGGAGAATCTGTGGCCAGACCCAAACCCAATGGAGAATCTGTGGCCAGACCCAAACCCAATGGAGAATCTGTGGCCAGACCCAAACCCAATGGAGAATCTGTGGCCAGACCCAAACCCAATGGAGAATCTGTGGCCAGACCCAAACCCAATGGAGAATCTGTGGCCAGACCCAAACCCAATGGTAGATATAGACAGATGGCTGTAGTGGACAGATATGACAGAGATGGACAGACAGATGTGGAATATGTAGCCCCTCTATGCGCACCTTCACGGGTATCTATGGGAACTTCCTCCTCTTCCTCCTTGAAGTGTGACTCCACCATGACTACATTCAGGCTTTTCTGGCATACAATACAAAGGTCAGAGAGAAAGAAAGAAAAAAAAAAAATTAACGTGGAACTCTGGGAACACCATATCAATGCAAAGAAGCTTAATCTGCCACTAACCCCCCTCCCCCCCAACTGCCACCTGTCTGCTGCTCAATGTCATGTGACCTATCAAGCGATCCTATCAGTGCGATTCCCACTTGGTCGGAGCCGCATCGATTTCTAAAGCAGTCACATGCACTACTTCGGGTGCGACTTGCACAGGCCTCTGTGTCTTGCAAGTCGCAACCCAACTCGGAATTCCAACCAACTTTGAAATCGTGCGAAATTGGACCGACAAAAGCTGATTGTCTGGCAGTGCTGTCCCTCCCTCTCCCTGTTATAGATTACAGCCAATATGGCTTTACCTCCCCACATGGAAGAAAAATATATTTGAAATATACCGTATTTGTCGGCGTATAAGACGACTTTTCAACCCGTGAAAATCTTTTGAAAAGTCGGGGGTCGTCTTATACGCCGGTATACGGCGAGCCGGTGTCAGGGCGGCACTTTTTTGAGGGGGGCGGCGCCGCCCCCCCCTCCTCCTCCAACGGACACCAAGTACAGGGGTGGGCAGAGGGGCTGCTGT